AGTAAGAGGAATTCGGTGAATAAGTAACGGAGTTTCAAAGTTTCGAGGAAGAGGTTTCGTCGTCGGGAGTGGGATGAGAGGGCGTGGATAACTTGAAACGTCTCGAACCGTTCCTCCGGTATCCTCGCACGGCGGCGCGGTCGCGTTTGTGCTCACCCTGCCGAAATTATCGGGTATTTACGAGTTCGTAGTCGCTTCCCGTCCGTTCGACGTCCTTTCGCTTCGCATTCCGAAAAACCGAACCAATAAATTCCGCACGAATCACCGGGCAGAGCCGGTTTACCAATCTGTAAAAATGCTCGCGTAAAAATCTCCGCCGAATGGAAATTTTCCAGTGAACGAACGACGCTTTTGCGTCCGTGCGTCGCCGACCGTGCCAAAACATTCGCGGGGGTCGCATTCATTCGCGGTTAATCGCACGCGCGAGCCATTCGAATGACGAATCAAAGTAGAAAAACACTCCCCGCCGGGAAAAACTCGAGCGAGTCCGAGGATTCGAATATCGGGCCCTGAAGGGCGGTTTCGTCGGCGGCGAAGGACGCGGTGCATTCGGAACGGATATTCGCGCGGCAACAACGGTCGACCGCGGATCAGTTTATAGTTTATAGGCAACGCTTCGCTGGAAAATGAAAAAGACAGCCGACCAAACGCAGCCGAGTGTCAGCGGCCGCGGGCGCTTTCCACGGTTGCGCTCGGCAACGATTATGCAGCGCAATGACATGCGGTTGAAATAGAATCTAGACGGGTTACATCAAGCTGGACCTTCCGCTAATTCGTCTATGTGTTATGAAATCTGATGCTCGCGTTACCGCGGCCGGTGCACGGGGAAACGCCATTAACCGATCAGCGGTTGTTAAAATACGCCACTCCGCGATGACGTTCGAAGACAGGAAAGAGGATCAAAAAGGCTGTCGATCTGGAGATAAATCCGGATCAATAGGCATAAAGCGTCGGGCAGTGATGTCGAATATAAAAATAATGAAAGCCAAAGGCGGTAAGAATAAAAATCCATTCGGGATCCGGCCGATGAATCCATCCAGACATACACTATCCACGGGAACGTATTTAATTCCCCTTTGCTGAATTATAGTCCGCTCTTTCCAAACAGCTAATCCCCATATAGACTCTCGAAAAATTCGAGTTGCCCAGGGATTCCATTGAAAACACGCTCACCCGGTGTGGCACAGCGCGAAACGGACGAGACCTGAATATTCAGCCGTACCGAGTTTTCAAATCCGGGAGGAGTTTTAAAAACGTTTATCCAGATTAATGCGCTCCATTGTCCGGGCCGCGTAAACGACAACCCCGTTTGGCCGGCAGGCAACCGTCGTCGTTCGTCCGAGCATTGTCTCGGAGCTGTCGCGATCGTCCTTTTATGGGATTGTCGAACAGATCGGCGGCAGGGAGATTCCGGAAACAAAGAAGGTTTGCTTATGCTTTATGCAGAATCCGAGGGATAAGGATGCTCGCGCGAGCTGGAAGTGCACCAAGAGGGAATGGAAGTTATCGGTCCTGTCTAGCGCTGATCCGGCAGTCGCGTGTAACGCGGAGAGGCAAACGTACCCGTTGCCCGCCGCGGATTCATATTATCGTCCCGACGCGGAACGCGAATGCTTAATGTCTCACACGGACACGCGACGTTCTACGAAAACAGGGGACTTGCTCAATATTTTCGCCGGCGCGCGCGATGCCGCATCTCCGCGACTCAACGAACCGCGACGCGAACTTTATCGTATTTCCTGGTCTCGCGAAAGATATGCGCATCGCATTTCCGCTCGCGTATCCTGCGAATGTTAACGCGTTATATGCTGCGAAGGTCACCGCTGAACGCCACTTCGAAATTGCTTGGAAAGAATTACGCCTGTCGAGTCGAATGATTAATCGTTCGCAATTGAAAGTTCCGCGCTGGAGATATTCTCTCATATTCTCGGTGGAAACGAAATAAAAAGCGATGTAATTTTATTTGAATATTTCATATATCGATGCATTGTACAAAGCTTAATATTGTCTAGAACTTTGAAAACACAACAGGCCAAACTCTTGCGGCGGCGAACGCGTTAACGATCGGAGTAGCGCAACAACAAGTAACAACTACGCTCCGTCCGATTAACATCGTCTGATTCTACTGCAGGCACTTCGAGATTTAATTCCGCCTACGATTCCGCGGGTTCCTTACGCGTTCTCGTTACCGGAAGTTATCGCGGCCTGCCAGGAGTTAATCGAAGGCAGCACGCGCGCAAACAAGCAGCATCAGAGAAATAAGATGTAGACCGATATGCAGCAGCCAGCGCCGGTGAATCGTGTATTCGACGAGGCAACGTTTTCAGTGTACAAATAATAATAACATCCGCCGCCGCGAACTTAGACGCATCGTTTCGCGATCCGAGATAGCTTCGAACCGCTGGGGGCATATTCTTGAGTCGCATGGTTCGCGCGTACAAGTTTCCGCGAACTCCTGGAAACCGAATGAAACGGATCCGGCGCTCGTTACTCGTAGAAAACAAGCAGGAGAGGCGCGTGTTTGGTAAAGCGAACAGGACTGGAACTATTCCGGCGGATCCGCTCGGCATAGTTCTCGTAATCCTCTAACAACAAGTTATCTTTTCCACGGAGAACTAAAAGTATTCTCCCAGGGCGTTCACCAACGAAGATTCATAGAGTTGTCGCCGAACTATCTCAAGGCTGCGAACGAAAATTTTCAAGGTAGAAGCGAAACCCCGCGGGACTAGGATTAATCGATATAATCGAATTCGAGAACCGATAATAACGACGTGTATACACACACGTCCACCACCTGCTTTCCCGTATTAACCCAAAGTACCCGGTTGACGTATCGATTTCAGCGACCCGGATACCTTGATCGTGCTCCGAAGATTTTCAAGTTTCCGCAAAGGGGTGAATAATAATAGTGTATTCGGTTTCGCTGGGAAAACTTGCCGGGTCTGCGATCGACCACCCCCGTCCGCCGCTGCCCGCGCCGGCGTTCCCTGGTGAAACGCGATTCTTGGACGCGACGAGCCGAAAGTTCGCATGGTACCTAGACCGGAACGGAACGAGGGTTGAAAAGCTTTAACGAGTCGTGATTTTAGCACGAGTCCGATGAAATATTCAAGTAGTCTGCTAGCCCCGAGACATTCGCGAAAGTGCGGGGTTTCGGGGACTCGGGAAATAATCGAGTTTCAGAAATTTCCATCCATCCCGGGGCTCGGTTACCGGCGCGGCGCGGCGCGGCGCGGCGCGGCGCGGCGCGGTGCACCTTAAGGCCGCAACCTGTGTGCGAAGCCTTTGTCGGAAACTTAAGAGAGAAATTATAATATTGTCGGGGCTCGCGGAGGTTGCGCGCGAGCCGCGCCACCACCCTTCCAGCTAAGGCGCGAAAATCCGCGAGCTACCGGCCCTGTGTATGCACGCGAGGGCGTTGTAATTCGCAGCCTCGCCAAGAGTGTATATATTTGTGAACCGGTGGCCAGGGACGACTATGACTGGCGAGGGTGTACACGCGCGAGCGCGCACGACTGTCATAGCGTTCGCGCCGGGAATAACGAGCCGGCGAGAAAAGAGGACGGAGACAGAAGATCAAGTGGTGTACATCGTAAATTCCCTTTGTCCGACCCCTCGGAGCGAGCGACGATCTACAAGCGGAACCACGGCTCGGGCTTTCTCGTCGGGGACGTCGACGTCCCGTCCCGTTCCATCCCTCGGCCAGTCTTCGGCCAGGCCGAAGAAAGTCGCAGCACGCGGCCACCTAATTGTTCGTTTCTAACTGAAAACAAACGGCGCTCGAAACTCGTCGCTCCGTTTCCACGGTTGCGGATGAGCCTCCGACGAGAGGTTCGGATGTCTTCCGGGCTGCAGCGGAATCGTTACGCAGCATCGACCAGTCGCTGGCGACCATGGATACGCGGTCAGTCGAGGGAGCACACGGTTTTTGCGTTTCGAAACATTTTATCGTTAACGATCTTCCATTTTTCATACCTTTTGCTTTAGCGGTGTTCGATTCGGCTAACGAGTGCTTCGAAACACGATGCATATCGATGTAGGACGATTGATTACAGAACTAGATTGCCGGAGAGCAATATGCGTACACGTATCAATTTCAAATTAGTCGCAGAGTCGCTCCTATTTTGAACTCTTGACGATGAAGTCGATGGCGGCTGGTCGACTTGAAAGTTCAGCGATCGAGACCGCCGAGATTTAAATCGATGTCGAATGGTTCGACCAAACTTCCGTGTCTCGAGAACGTTTCTAGCGCGAGGTAAATTTTGAATCTTCGGCATGCGCGACAGGCTTTATGGTTGGACAGCAACGGAGAATGCGGCAAACAGGATCCTAACTTTCCGGAGCTTCTCCGACCGTGCCGCTAACTTTTCGTCGTGGCCGTGTACTCATGACTGAGGGGACTTAACTATGTATGGTATACCCAACAAACCGTGAACCGGATTCTTCTTCTTGGTCATCCGTTTAAAAGCTTCCCCGGTGTTGCTAGCCCTGGATATCATTTCCCCAAAGATCACCGTACACGCGGCTGCCCGGCGAATGTACGAGCGTTTTATTCGGATATCGTTCTTCCGGTACATGGAGCCGCCGCAAATAACGAGTCACAATATCGAGCAATTTTCCGCGTGCGCGTGCCATAAATTTCGACGGCGATATCCGGCGAACAACAAAGATCGGTGAAGCGTGCGTTATTCGCGCGCCGTCTCGTTGCCTACATTCCCGGCTGAAATCTCGACCCGGACATTCTTTGATGCAGGATCTATTTCCCTTTGTTTATCCAGGAAGAAGAGCTCCATTACAACGTCACCGCCGGCATAGTGCTCTCGGACCACTCTCTGGTGCTTCAGAGTATAACTCGGGAGTCCGCTGGAAGATACACCTGCATGGCCGCCAATGTGGAGGGTCGTGCCAGTTCTAACGTAGTGAACCTCCAGGTTATGTGTGAGTATGGTCTCTCCGTTCTCGCGATGCGGACATTGCGGGGCGCGACAAAAAAAAAGGGGGGAACGACAGAAAAATATATGTTCCATCCGTGAATGTCGTAGACGTTCCGCGATAAAACACGGCCGGCGTGTTTTTTCCGTGTCCAGGCTGTCCGCATAATCGTCACTTTTATTCCCCCCCGATGACGACGCACGCGCGGCCCCGGTATCTCGCGAAGCAAACGTAGCACCGAATGTTTTACGACGGCCCTCGTAACTCTTGGTTTTCGTTAAACCGGGAACAGGCGCGATATAAAGCGGAGCGGCACGGAAATACCAACGGTTAACGCGAAAAACGCGTACGCGCCATCCGCCACCGGTTGCATGTACCGTGGTACGTTTTTGTTACAGTCGCCCCTATTTGCAAGCACGTTTTAAACTCCGCCGGTTGGAGACACCAGAACGCGACGCCGCCACCTTTGAACGTGCCCGAGGAGGTTCACGGAGCCTCGAAGCACGAGACCATCAGCTTGGTCTGCGAGGTCGAGGCTATTCCGACCACCATCAGCTTCCAATGGACCTTCAACAGCAGTGGGGACCTCACCGACATTCCGTCCACAAAATTCACTAACGAGGGCACTTCGAGCCGCCTGACCTACACCCCCTCGTCCGACATGGACTACGGGACGTTAGGCTGTTGGGCCAGCAACGTCGTGGGTCTCTCGAAGCAGCCGTGTCTCTACCAAGTGATCGCAACAGGTTCGTAGTCTCCTCGGAGATTCGAGTCGATAGATTCGAGAACGATGCGAGAAGAGAGTTTGGTATGCGAGTTGCGAAAATGATGACCGATAAAAGAACAGAGAGAAACGAGAAAGAGAAAAAGTCGGAAGAACGCAGCAGAGTTAAGGTAGCAATCGCTGTGAACGACGATTCGCTAGTCGACGCGGTAATCGCGCGTACGGCGCGCGCAACGGTCGCCTAACAACAATTAAGCAACGCGTTACCGTTGCGAGATAAAACGATCGCGGCGAACGAACGAAGTGAACGCGGGAACGCTTTTTAATTATTCCTGAGCCCGCGAAAATTACCGAGAACCGTGTACCGTTCGGCGTCCGCCGAGCATAACGCCGGACAGCGACCGAAATCCCCCGGGGAACAAACACGAAATGAAAAACCACGTTATCACCAGCTGCTCGTTTCCGGCCGAACTTCCCGTCGTATGGCCGCGACGTGCGCGTTTTTGCGAGTATTTCATGAAAACCATAATTGAATATGTTCATTACCGCGTACGCGCGGTGGGTTTGTGTTCGACTTGGAGAAAGCCGCGGCGAATCTACTGGCCGAACGCCGGCCGAAGTCCCGGGGACGGCCGACGGACAAAACCAGTCCAAGAACCGTTCGACCGACCGAATTAGTTTCGTCCGCGTCAGGTATAGGCGTCCGTCGATTCACAGAGGTTGATAATTTCCAGGCGATTCGAATCCGACCCGATGCGAAACCGTTCGGCCGCGTCACGCGGTAATTGGACGCGTAATTTATTTTCGAACCGCGGGAACGTGTTTCTTATATAATTACGGGTCGGCGGTGCGTCGGCCGGCACTTGACCAGCGAAGCTGACGCGGAACGGTGTGTTTATTATCGGCGGAGCCGAATAATCCAATTGTTCCTCGGAATAGCGGTGCGCAGAGGTGAACTCTCGCCCCGGGGAGTGTGTTTAAGAAAGGCGGGCGACCGCGCTAAATAATTAGCAACGGTGGAAATGCTAATCGGGGGAAAGAAAGGAAGAGAAATGGACGCGGAAAATGGAAAAATCTATGGGTCCGTGGCTCCAGCAATTTGCGTTACCGCGAAAAAAGGCCAGCAGCCGCGCCGAGCACATTGTCCACTGTTTCCGCAAGCTTTTTCAGCCGCCTATTTGCATACAAGTGATCTCGTTAATGCAACGCCATCGTCGATAATGACGCCCGTGGAACATAATTTCATTGGCCGCGAAATGGTGCAGTATCGCGTTGCAATTTTCGTTGCGCAATAAAACGAAGTTATGGCCGCCGCGGCGTGACTACGCCACTTTTTCCTGTTCCGTTCCACCGTGAGAAATTGCGCACAATACGACCCTTCGTTACTACGCGCGACACGCGTTCGTTTTGAAAAAAAGAGAAGAAAAAAATGGAAAAAGGAAAACGCATCAGCCGGATTCATCCGCGGCTCGCATCGTCTATGAATAGGTTCCGGGCCGCGCGGGTTAACGAAATTAGGCGGCGATAACGCGAATTTCTCGCGTAGGAACCCGGACCCCGATGAAACGCGATTGTTGCCACGTAACTAGGCGCTTTTCGGACGACACCGGCGCGGTCACAGCATTCGGCGAGCGTGATGAAGTTTCCAAAACTCGCAATGGTACGGGCAATAATCACAGGCGGTCGTTTCGCAGGCAAACCGTACCCGCTGCAAAACTGCACGGCCCAGAACCAGTCCGGTTCCTGGATCAGGATATCGTGCGAGGAAGGGTACGACGGCGGTTTGCCGCAGAAGTTCGTCGCGATGGTGGACAAGCTGCGCCTGGAGTCGGCGAATCCCTATTGGGAGCTGGAGCTTCACAAACCGACGACGATCGCTCTTTACGCGGTCAACATGAAGGGGTCCAGTGCTCCGGTGATCATGGAACGCGTGGCGTTGAAGGGTGTAGCCAAGTTTACCGGTGCGTAAGTACCTACACACCCGACGAAAGTTGAACGAGAAACGCGAACAGACGGATAAGCAACGGTCTGTATCCACTCAACGGGTCGCGCTCTTCAAAAGATCCGACTCGTGGAACCTCTTCCCGTTCCGAAGCGTAGAGAGAGCTTTCCAACCTTTTGCCACCAGCCACTCCCGCGCGATCGTATATCTCACGTGCCGGCGAGGCATCCGCCTATCTGCTCTCCGCTCCCGCTGCTCGATAATAGGTTTTCACGAGTCGTCCCGTTGGCGAACAGAGATTAACCGTATTCGCGGTACGCGAACGTGTTAGTTCTCGCCGCGACTGTATCGCCGTTATTCGGACACAGCGATACTCGCCCCTGCTACGGATTTGTCCGGCCATCAATTAACTGGATTAACGATGCAGTTAATAGTCGCGGACCGCTTCTGCGAGGCGGAAGAGGCTGGCTCGCGAGACGATAACAGCTAATTAATCTTCGTCCGACGCTCGGGGCTATAAAATACAGGCGTTGCTTGTCGCAACGGAGAAAGGAGGAAGGAAAAGACAATCCGGAAACGCGTCCTGAAATTTATGAGCCATTACTATGCATTCTGTTTTCTCCCATTCGTTTCTTTCCTCTCAAACTTCGCGTTTCGGCTGTCCTCCAATAGCGGCACCGCCCCGGACAGTTCAGCCGCCCTTAATTTCTCGTCGCGTTCATTAATCTTACGCGACAACGAAGACGCGCCTATGGAGGAACCGAGCGGCGGCCGAGGCTGCAAAAACCGGAGGGAAATTATAATACGCGGCATCTTTGACCGTGCAACGACGACAACGACTTTCTACGGGCGCGATTAATCTTTTCGGATAATATCGAGCGGAGACGGGGCGCCCGTGTATCGGCGATCGTTAGGAACGCGGCCCCAAGAACGCGCGCCTCGGCGTCCGCGAAGCGGAACAGGCCAACGCTGTAGGGGCAAATGAGAAGTTCCAGCGTTCGTTACCTGTTTCGTGGGAATAGCAACGCGTGAATTAATAAACACGTTAATCGAACGGCGCCAAGCGGTGCCGCCTCCTCGAAGTTTCGCAATACACCGGAGTGAGACCCTAATTGGAAGTAGATTAGGTTCCCCGGAAATTTCTCGCCGAAATTCAACCGCAACGGTGTTCACAAACGCGCCCGAATGACAAACAAGAGAATTAGAAACTGTCGCGGATTTCGCCGGAACTCGGTCGCGCGGACTATTCGAAACGATAAACGGAGGACATTGCCGGGGCGGTCGTGATGTATCGCGCGTTCCGAGAAAGAGAGACGGGAAAAGCGAGAAGGAAAAACGAAATTTATATCGCGTGCGTTGCCGAATAAATCCAGTATAAATAGAGAACTAGCCGAGATTTCGTTTATAGGTGAATCGGTGTCTTCGGTGGACATGTCGCCGATCCTGATTGGTCTGGGTGGAACGGCGACCGGTTTGGGGCTAATCGTGACCGGCGTGTTGATGGCGCTGTGGAGAAAGCACGCAGCTACTCCGGCGAAACCGAAGCCGCCGCAACAACCCAGCATCTCGACCTTCGCCGGCAAAGGCGAAGAGGAGGACGGGAATCCCGATCTCATACCCACCACGGCCTTGACCAATCATCTAATAGGTAATACCGTCGCTCCCCTAATACCACTCGGACGTTCGGGGCAAAGATGGGCGGTGTTACAAGTAATTGTCAATGACTCGATGCTTCGGACATCGATCGATTCATATCGCAATTGCTTCCGCGGCGGTGAACGCGTTAAATCGAGACGCGAACGGTGACGGAGGAGCATCCGGTTCGAGAACGCTGATCTACATTCCCTAATACAAACAACCCTCCATCGCGTTCCGTTGAATTTTGTACGTGGAACTGATGAAAGTGCTCCGTTTAAACGAGAACCGTAAATACGTCGGGTCGCGTCTTAAACCACAACCGGATGCTTACAAAACTTTCAAGGCAATTGCTCGTTCGGGACGCGGTCCGTTACATCGATCCACCGTCTCCGGCGGCGGCATCGGTTGCATCGCTTGCACCGCCGCATTCGGGCCACGTCGATTTCGATACAGGGAGCAACGATAGCCGTATAAAATACTTACGTGAATCTTTTGCCGGGCAAAACTTACATCGTTACGTCGTTACCGCGACTCCCGGCGAATCCATTATACGACCGGCGTTAAGCTCGCCCCGTAACTTCTTTCAGATAGGAAGCTTTTACATTACGGATCCTTGCCGCGGAGGCCGCGACAGCTGGAAGGACGGGAGATGTCCCACGATGTCGTAGAAGAGTCGGATTATCCGCGGGCATCGCCAAACGTGAGTAATCGGATTTTCATCGTCGGCCCGCTAGAGGCGGGAGGCGAGGATTCCGGCTGGCCGCGACGCCGATAAATTGAAATCGGTCGGAGGCTGTCTCGTTGAAGAACGTCCCACCGATGCCGGTGCCATTTTATTCGTGTACCAACGATCCTTTGTCTCTTTTCCAGACGTTTTACAGCCTCCAAAGACCGCACCGATATTCGGAGACGGTTATCCGGAGCGCCGCGATCCAGGAAAGTTGCATCTAAGAGAGCGAGGCGCATTCGGAGGATCGAAACGGTCCCGACGATCCTGACGGGGAGGAAGGGAGGGATCATCCTGGAGCGCTTCGCCGCGAGCCGACGGAGCTCCCCTTTGGCCTCCGTCGCGGAGTACACAAAAATCAAAAAGACTAAAGCCATGCTTACACCACATTGTACACGTTTAAGCGTACGAAGACATTAATTAGCCAGTCGACGACAGTATGCCTTTGTAAATATTGTATATAAATAAAACACATCGATTTCGTGTTACGCGGCTCTCTCCCTCGCCATTCGGCACCCTCTGGTCCTGCGTTCGCCAAAACTTTCTGTCTTATTAGTTATTTAATCGATCGCGCGCCTTGTTCCACGCATGCGTCTATTTCATTCTCGTTCCAAGTGAAACGCTCGCGAAGAATGAAGGAGAGACGCGAAAGAGAAGCGGCGATTACCGAACCAGCTATTATCGTATTTAGCGCGTTTCTGTCGGATTTGGTTCAAGTGCCGCCGCTATTCTCGCGAAAGATTTAATGTACCCGCGGATGTTTAATGCGCCCGGTGTAAGGGAAATAGCGGTGTCCCGTATGACGGTCGAGAACAATGCTCCGAGAGGTATATATCCTCGAAACAGAGCGAAAGGTGATCGCGTACACCGAGATGCGCCATCGTTCGAAATCCAGGCCAAGGAAAGGGTGGAATTTATCGTGGCCTCCTTTCGCGGTAATCTTTGTTTTGAGACACGGGAATCTTGGACACTTAATGAGACTTTTCCCCTATTCGTCTCCTCTACTTTACAGCGCAATCTCGGCGTCTTTCGACGACGATAAATGCACCGGACCAACTTAGCCGGGTTACTCGTGGCCGAAGTATCTTCGATCGGCCATGTTATTCATCGTTGAACGCACGAGACGTCCTTGCAAGTGGGACGCGTTATCCCAGTGTAATAGTCAGCCGTTTTCATCCTGAAAACGTTTCAAATGCACCGGACGAAGCTGAATCGCTCGGAGAGCAGATAGCATCGACCGTATTTTTGAACTTTATTCAACATGCCGATCGTCCCGATAAGATCCGATGACGTTTCGGTCTGCTTCGGCAAGTCGAACAGAAATTTTAATAAAGCTGCTTCGAGAATAAAGATCTGCGTTTGTTCTTCTATGCTTCCCATCTTTCTCCCATTAAATCCCTGAAAGAATCACGAACTCTGACTCTGTTATGTTTAATTTGCAAAGTTACCGAGGAATAAATAATAGATTTTACCTGTAACAGGAATACATTCGTTGACATTCGAAGTTAAATATAACCAACGCGATATAACACACAAAATTGAATAAGGTATCAGTCAACATTGTCGGGTATCAATAAGTCACTGGAATGGAATGAAAGTAAATGAGCGTTATTAAATATTGGTTAACATCGGCGGTGGTCAACAAATGAAAAATCGATTTCAAACATTTGTAGTCGATCTAATAGACAGCAGTTTATTTATGTTCCCCATAATATTACCCGTCGGCCATCTATCGATAGTACGCGCAAACAGCAGGAACCTTCGAGATGCAAATTTAAAATCAATACGAACATCCCGTGCAGTATAATTTTCTATGCACCGTTCGGGGATAGTGGCACCATTCAAAATATTCTCTCGCATAACCCGCTTCTACCTGCACCGAATGGTCAGCCTGCGGACCGCATAAAACTTCGACATAAAAATCGCAATTGCCTCAATTTCTGTAATCTATTCGTACACTCTGCTGGTAACGTTACGAACCACAGAGAAAATCGAATGTCCGAATCTGCACCTTTTGTCGGATCTATCCTTTCACCTAGTCTATGCTACGAGTCTTCGGTACTGCCTGTAGGTAAAACAGACTGATCCACGTATCATTCACCCGAATATAATATTCAACTATTCGACATTCGTATAACTTAACATACATTTGCTTCCAAGTGCGTCGAAGTTTCTGCAATCGCGTTTGTTCCGCAAACGTTGCAGCTCGGTAAAATGTTACCAGCACACCGTAACGGAACGATTGCCCAGCGTTGGTGAAGTGCACTGAAACGGGTCATCGGCCCGTCGCAGTTATCCGTTTCGCCGAAAGCAATTTTTCCCTTGTTCGGAGGTTTTCCACGCATCGCGTCGGAACAATTACACGAGCTAACCGCACGCGGCCCAGTGGACTGTAATGGAACCGATACGCTATCCGGTAGCTGGGAGCGAGGGAGAAACAACGCGTCCCTGCATTTAAATACGACTCCTGTCCACTCGATGATTCGATCGCTACTGGTTCGATGACTTCGCGAAACACTGCGCCGGTTAATCGAGTTCCTTGCGAAACTTGCTTCCAACGGAGGCGTTTTTCTCCGCCTTCCTCCGCGTCCCCCGCCACGCCGAAAATGTATCGAGGAGGATCGAAGTTTCTCAGAAAATTAAGACGTAGTTACTTCGCCGTCGGAATCGAGTTATACTCGTAGACAGTGTTCTAATTAGTCGAGATGAGATAATTGCCTTTAGCGAAGCTGCCCGGAGAAAGAGAGACCTTGCGAGATCCGGTTGTGTATTCTTCGTACGATAGACGATCGTTGTTCGCCGCAGAAACGATTCGTGATAAAAAAAAGAACGAAGCTATCAATGAATATAAGAGTCCGCCGGTTTCCTCGTAGACTCGTCTCATTCCTGATATTTCATATTTTCTCGCTCCGCGACAATGACAATTGATATGTATTATCTTCGAGTGACAGGACCGCGGAGGGCTATCGAAAAATTACATACGACACTTCGCGAATCCTTTCATTTGCTTAAGGAGTGGCCGTTTGTCGGCACGCCATATACACCACGATACGATCAATTATGTATCTCGATAAATTACAGTGTGCGAATAATAGCCGTGAGGCAGTCACGAGATCGAGGCGATTATTTGAAATCTTTTTTTTTTTACTCGTCCGGCGCGTTCGACGTACCAGTACAAGATGTCGTCCGCCGTAATTACGTTGAACGAAGGAGAAGAAGAGGTCGCGCCCGGAAGCATGGCGTGAAGGAAATCGACTGCGGAATTACTTCTCGCCGAGAGATATCGTACGCGAGGCGACTGGCAACCGGCCCTCCCTTCGTGAGCTGGATGAATAATTATATTCATGATCACGTTTTTTGTGCCGCGTTTCCGAGAATGGTTCGTCAGACCCTGATTCTTATGTACACCGGTTGGTCAGAGCATCTGCCGCGTTGCGACGGGAGCGCCTTAATTTCTCGCGCTGCTTTTCTGGCATTGCGTTTAAATTGGCTGGCCCGAGAAACGGAGTTCTCTGCGAGGCATTTTTAATTCGAGCCCCATCGGCACAATTATTCGATTATCTTGTTAACGGCGAGCCGAGTCTACAAACGAACGGCGCTGATACGATCGAATTGCCTCTCGAAAAAATTCGCGACGCAGATGCGGTTAACCGTCTCGACAGCCGAGAATCGAAATACCTTCGCGAGAAATACGTCGAGCCGATATTTCGGTGTTTCACGTGAAACCAAGTTTCACCGCTTATAAAGTTTCCAAAGAAATAATAGAAAAACGAATATAATATACCCTACTGAATTAACTAAATTCACTATAAGGAGTAGGACTCTTTTACCGAATGATCGTTTCAAGAGTATCTGTTCCCTTTGAAAAATTCAATGAATTTTGAAATTGCTATGAGGACTTCGAGTAGCGCTGTTTCTAAGTTGGAATATGTACCTCCGAACAATAGGAAAACCATAAGACGTCCAGAGAGTTAAGAGAACTCGAGTCACGAGTCCAGTTTTTCGTCGATCGAAACCGTGATCCGACCATCTCGGGCCTCGGAGCCTGAAAAAGGGAAAAAAACGAACGAGAAAGGTATCGCGCGCATCCTCATGGACACGCGAGGAATTCTTCCTCTCCGCCTCAAGGTTACTGTCACTGGCGATCCCTCGTTTGTATTCTGGCCGACTTCTGACTTCACGGGTTGCATTTCGTGTTGCCGGGCCACGTGCGTTTCGCCGTTATCGCGCGCGAAACGTATCCGGACGTTCCGTTGTCAATGTCGTTTCATGTTCTTCCGCAAAAATTAGTAATCCGAATACGAAGCAATAGCCAGACACTTAAGTATGCCGGGCAGATAAGGACAGTACCTTTCGATCGATTCCATAGTCAAACGTGTATCAGCACCGGAATAAGTCAGGCTGCCGTAAGAACGCTTCGAATCACGTGTTACCCGTGATCGTACCTTCGCTCTTTGTTTATATCCTGGAGTCACGGTTATGTGATTTCAGAGAAATTTCGTAACTTCGTCAGCTCGGTTCTAGTGTGACGAAGGTCGCGCATGTGTTTACCGTTTCCAGGGAAACGATCGGCGACCGTAATTCGCTCGCGATGAAGAGTTCGCATCCATTATTGTTCACTTAGAAAAAACGTTATTCCCCCGTTTTATGTGGCAACGATTCGAAACGTATAACCAGTTCCGACGTACGCATGCATGAGCTAAAGAAAGAAAATATAATGCGCGCAAAAAATACGCTATGAAAGGAGCCCGATCAGCGCAACGAGAGAAAAAGATGAAACTAATCGTGACGATAATAATAATGTAGGATTAGAATGAGACAGGCCGAATTAGCATTAACGCAAACTCTGACTAATATCCTCGGTTCTGACACACGTATTAGTACAAGCGCGATAAGATAAAAAGTAAACGAAGCCGGCGGTGGTCGACGGAACATCAACATTACAGCTCGCCGCGTTCGCGAACAACAATCAAAGGTCGTCTATGTAAGAGAAAAAAATGGAACTTCATTCCAGCGGAGAGGCGAGAGACGCGGGATGTTAGCGTTGTTAATTTCCTGCCCTTTGTTGTTCGCAGCCGCGTTGGTCCGTTTCATTTCCGTTCGGACATACGAGCGAACGCGGACCGGCATTGACGCGACGATGAAAAGGAGGAACGACGTTAAAACAATCGGAATTGGAATCGAGAACCGAGCTATCTAAAAACGACCGTGCGATCTGACCGAAATTAAGAGACCCGCCCCTTTTCTCGATCGATCGCACTTTCGTTCGCGATCGTATAGCTCTCGGATCCACGTACCTTCTGCACGCGATTTATCATTCGACTCGGCCTGTTCGATCTTGTCGAAGTTTTATGAATTTACATATTCCCTTCCACACAGTGGATCGCTTTTCACCGTTACCCCCACCGCGGGATCGTCTTTCCTCGGGAAGGGGGAATCCGTTTAAAGCCAACTTTGACGAATGATCGGCCATAACGTTGCATCGTCACAGCGGCTCGCAGTCGAAAGTCGGACTCGGAGCTGGTTGGAGCAAGCAGATACGGCAAGGAGCTCATCGCGCACAGAATCTTCTTTCGAGGACGCACCGCAACGAACTTTCACCGATAATTATGCTGAGGGAAACGATTCTCGTGTTCGCGGTTCTGATCGCGGTGGCGAACGCCACGGAAGTCCTCAAGTGTGGCAGTGGTGCGTAGAAGAAACTTGGAATTTTCAATCGGCGTGTGCCCCCTCGACGATCTCGCCTGTGAATCGTATCGTTCGAATAACCGGATTCGCTGAGAAATCGGAAACGCGTCTCGCGCTCGCGTTGGACGGTCCGCGTTCTGTCAACTGGATCTCGAGTTTCGCGGATATTCGCATAAACGCGCGGATCGTTCGTTTCTTCTGCGAGCGTGCAGCGTTTCGATTCAGCGATGATTCCTGAATCGCGGGTAAATTGAAGGCTTCTCGGGAGTCAGTCCCTGAAACTGCGAGTTTCACTTTCGATCTCGGTCGCTCGTGGGAGTCTGTGGGGCCGAGAAGGGGGCAGGACAACCTTCGACCCGGCTGGGGAGAAAAATGCGTTGGCTCGGTCGCAGGTAGAGGCAGGTTAAAAATACACGCGATGGGATCGGCAGGAAACGATTTCTCTTATCCTTGCGAATAATCTGCGCGCGCTGTCACGGTTTCCATGAATCGATGGATGCGAGTACATGGTAGTTGACCCAAAATCAACGCGGGGAACCAAACCGACTCGTTAGAAATCAATTGAACACGTCGAGTGCTGTTGCCGTCACCGATTACAAGCGTTTCTCGACTGATTGAAAATTATTACGACGCGTAAACTAATCGATATCCGACGAGAATGTCGAATAACGAAGCTATCCGAACGATAAAATAACGTTAGAATCGTGGAAGCAAATAATGAATAATCGTTTCCGTTTCTATTTTTACGAGACACGCAACGAGGCGCGACACTCTGAAAAATCTCGTGACGGTCAACGTGTCGTTTATGTAACTACCCTCATGTTTCTTTCTTTCGAAGAAAGCGAAAGACGAGTAACGTGCTGTTTTCGCAGGAGAGCTGTACGAAGATTCCAACCAGATTAAGATATCCGGCTGCGACAAGCCGCCGTGCAAGTTGAAGCGTGGAACGAAGGGAACAGTGGAGCAGAAGTTCGTGCCCAACAAGGACATCGAGAGTGTTACGAACAGCGTGAGCGCCGCGGTTCTCTCCGTGCCGCTGCCGTTCGTCGGCGTGGACGGGACCAGCGCGTGCGAGAATATTTTCAACGCGGACGGCACGCCCGCTGGATGCTCGCTGAAGAAAGGCGTCGATTATTACTACAAACGGGAGTTCCCCATCCTGCCAATCTATCCTACGGTGAGCGTTTCTCAATGGACCGATACGTCGTCCAGATTTCCATTCGTTCCTCCGTTATCCAGTCGCGCGCGCTCGCGGCGTCATCGAAATTCGACGCGTTAGCGGCTTATCTGCTCGATAACCGAAAGTTTATCGTAAGGACTAGACACGAGGAATGTCGCAATTTGCGCTGAGAGCTAGCGCGGAACCGTCGTTTCCGTTGGCCGTCGCATTATCTCGCATGAGCATATCAGCAGCAATTTCGTAACACACTTTTTTCTTCTCCGATTTCTTAGAAAGATGATCCATCGATGCCGGTCGTTGATAAATTCCTTTGAACTCTGTCGAAGAAGCTGTATCTCGCGGTGTACGCTGGAATCTAGTTACTCGCGATCTACGGAATTAAAATTCTTCCTTTCACGTTATCCTCGTTTCGACTATATTTCGACTTTGCTTCGTTATCATTTCCCCTGTATCAAAGGGTTTCTGTCAGTAAGTTCATCGTGATCGTTATTATTTCGCAGATCTCAATGGTGATTCACTACGAGTTGAAGGAAGGCGAACAATCGATAGCGTGCTTCGAGGTTCCTGCAAAAATCATACGCTGAGAGGAGCTGCCCGTTCATTCTGGGACGATTAACTTCCTCGATCCCCGGACCAATGGAGCTGCGCCTCTGCGTCCGAAACATTTGTACAATAAGGATGGTTACCGTTGAAGAGAGGACGTTTGCGATAGAACAACCGGCATTCTCGCGAATGTGCTGCTTTCGGTAGCCCGCTTTACCGTCGAGCTTAATTAGCATGTAGTACTCACCCGTTATTTTAATCGTTTCCCCTTTCCTTTTCTCTGTCTTTAATTTACCCTCCAGCGTTCTTTACAGTTTGTCGCCAGGGACATAGGTAAATTATTCCATGCGAGGAAAGTAGCGTGTATTTCGATTCAGACAACGTCACGATTACAATTGTTAATAAAACTTTTGTATAATCTACCTGCGCGGAACGCGTGCCTCTTCTCAATGAGCTTCGTATTCCCGAAGTCTGTCTCGCGTTCCTTCCTTCCGCCGGAACATTTCCATCGCCGAGAAGTTGCGAATGAATTTCTATCGAAACGTCGGGGTCGGTAACCCCGATAACCAGAAATAGCAACGATAGCGCTAGGAATAGCGCAGCGAAAGCTAGAGAATCGGGCGAACCAGAAATACCGTCGATAAGATAGGGAACCCGACGAAACTGGTAGCTACTGCCGCTCGTGGGCGCTCGGGAAAATTCGTCGGACGCGTGGAAATCCCTCCGATGATAGCCGGACCGAATGTTAACAGAGATTCCCGGCGCTACGGAGAGTAGCGATTAAAAAATCACGCGAACGAGGAAGACATGCACGTCTAAAGGAATTTGAACAGGAGAGAGAGAGAGAGAGAGGGAGAGAGTGCTGGTTACGGGGTTCAGATGAATTCCGTTTCCACGCGTGAAATTTCATTTCCGTGACTTCCCGTGACACGTTAGACGCGCCGGAACGTGACTTTCCGCGGCAACCGAACGTCGCGCCGAGCTCTGCGCGAAGGGATAACGAGGTTCCGATGCGCGGGGGGGCCGCCCTTATAAATTGCGATCTCTGTCGGCGTCGACGCGACGATCCGTTTTCCCTGTCCGGTCGTTTTCCGCGCGCTTACCGTTCCTGTCGCGAATTGCGAAGGTAAATTACAACGGCCGGCCGGTCGATCGATAGCGCAACATTGAATTACTCGGCGTCGTGGCCGTTAAACGAATACGTTGATACTCATTACTGGAGGCCGGGACAGGAATTTTCCCTCGTAACGTGTGGCGGAGTACGTCTCTGGTAGGTGGTCATTTCTAGAAATTACCGAGTCCGAAGGAAGCTTTTTACAAAGATCGAATAAACGGCGTCGCGTGAAGGAAACTGCCGCTTTAATCGCGAGCCCCGATCGCACGGAATCGAAACGCTTTACGCCGCGTAGGCCGATTGCCGAGCGTGTAGCGCCGAACGCATGAAACCCGGAGAATTGCGCGTGAAATAATTTGACTTTATAAGTTGATACAACCCCTGTACGACGAATATAAACCGAAATGTTCCTAGTTCGTGCCAATCATTGAAACGCTGCTTAGCGCTCCCGTTAGCCCCGTATAATATCGAGGGGGACAGCGTTGAACTAGAATTTAACCGTTGAAATTGAAATAGAAACATATTGCGAACAATTTATGTACACAACGTGGACTTACAAGGAACGTAGAGTTCTTGCTTCTCTAGATAATTATTAAGTATGGCGCAGCTTTAAACGGGGCAACGTCGAAAGAAATCGTAAAGTAAAGGGTTAATAGCGGTGTTCCACGAGAACCCGACGTTCGTGCATCTGGCCGGCTCCGGTTAGACTCGATTTTTCTATCGGCAACACGGGAGCACGCCTTAATCGGCGTAATGAACCGTATCCGGCTTTCACGCGTTCCTATCTTTCCGCGAGGAGCGGCTGAACGGAGAACAACGGAAAAAATTGCGTGAGCGCGGTCCGCACTCGACATTATTCGAAAATCAAAGGTTGACGTGATCGGAGTCCCTTGTACCATCCCCGATCGATGTTTTCAATCAAACCGCGCGGCGAACTCGAAATTGGTTCTCCGGTATCGACAGCTATGCAACGCGCGCTCGCGCGCGCGCGCGACAGAAGCGCGCGGCACTTTCACGTTTACCAAGAATCTTCGGCGTCGCGCGTGCCCGCGAGCGAAAGCGAGAAACGATATATTTATTAAATGTATATCCATCTTTCGAACGAAGGGTGCGTGTGTAGCGCGAATAGAAAAATTAGCTCGTTCGTCAAATGAACTCGCGGGGGATCGAACGGATAAGGGAAAAGACCGATCCGCCGTTTATCACGTTCAGCATCACGCTTGTCGGCCGAAATATCGCTGTACCGCGATACAGATTGAATTCCACCGGAGCCGGGGCAGTATATTCAAATAAAAAGGATCAACGGAGTTCGCTGTGCCAAAGCAACCGAACACGCATCTATATCCGTAACGAGTAGAATCATTACTCGCGGTGGTTCGTGGTACTCTTTCGGGTTTTTACACGTACGGGCGTAACCGGGGCGAGCGACACACATGCGCGCGGCCCCGAGTAAGCCATTCCCTGGTCGAAAAGATAGCTTTCAGAAAGCGCGAGTGGCATTCCTTTGGTTGCCTTTCAGGAGCTTTTAAGATGACCATGATCCGTGACACCAGAAGCAGGGAGCAACATCTGCCTCTTCGCCCGCCTGTTTCGCCCTCGAGGTCTCTCACCCTATTTCGATCTCTTCCGCCCTCGCTCCGCCCCTGTTCTCGCCGCGTCCCCCTCGCCGCGGTCCCTTGTATCGCCATAAACCGTCTTCGACACCGAACAGAAAGCAAGCACTCGTCCACGGACGGCCGAGTACCCGTCACTACCCGAACGCGCTCATCGAAAGCTCTGTTCGAATCGAACGAACGTCCTCCGCTCGATCTTCCATTTCGGTCGCCCGGGAAAATTTGCCCGATTAATATTGCAACCGTCGGTCCCGAGAACCCGGCCGCGAACGGGGGTCCCCTCGATCGGCGAATTTCCCTCAGTACACCGGATTCAATCGCGTCTCCGCCGCGAAATGTCTTCCGGAATATTTGCGCAGCGCCGGGAACGGACGGGACGCGAATCGAGAAAATATTCTATTCGGAAAGGAAACGCGGACGGAGATACGTATGCAAACGAACGATACACAGCAGCCACGGCGATTGTTTTCGCGGAGCGAGGGGCGCGTGTGTACGCTCGAACGGTACACACGTATAACGTTATCAGTTTGTCGTTATTCCGTTTTATCCGGGGGAATCGAATTCCGATTTTTCCGAGATATTGATACACGGGGCCGCTGATTTACGCTTGGAAGGCGGAGCTGCGAGCCAGAACCAAAAATAGCTAATTACCCTGGGACCTCGATTATCAGATTCAATTGGCCGCGCGACAGTTCAGGTGTACGGAGGGTTAAAGAGGCATTTCGCGAAGTTTGTTTATAGGATTCGATCGTATATAGTTCGAGGTACGAGGAATATGAATGATCAAGGTCGGGGATATCCGAGATTCGAAGCGATCGAGATCGCGGGAACTCATTTTTGGACCGTTAACCGGTCTCGTAACGTCGCGTCAGATTCGCGACGAAGATTTCGAACGGAGTAGAACAGAATTCCCTAGAAATCACGAGATTTTTCTGTTATCATCTGTGGAGCTTAGTAAATAACTGATAAGACGAAGGGTTAATCGATGTTTCATTGCTGTATCTCTCCGTTCGGCGAAGGGGTGGGCCGTCGTCGAGCAGGGTAGAACGCATGTGCGTCCAATTACGCATCAGTTTCGGCAGTGTTTACCAGCGACGAGTGGTATTCGAACGCGTTTCCTCGAGCGCGGCACGGCATAAACATCCCCCGACGTTTGGGCCAGTATCAGGGTGCAGGATGTACGGTGCAGGGTGCACGATATTCGCGCGAGCCCCTTTCGCCCCCTTCGCCCCACCCGCAGCTTTTCCTCCGATACCACCGCCTCCTCGGGAGGCTTTGCAGGCTGCGCGTCCGTCGCCGCGCCGTTAGCTCGTCTTCTCCGTCAGTGTGCCGTCCGCCGTCGGTCGAGGACCACGTGTGCTTGCGTCGCGTCGACGTGCGCCGTCAGGTTGCCCGTCACGCGCATCAGTCAACCCCCCGTGAGCCGAGCGGAGCATCCCGTTCCGCGGTGATCGAGCAAAACAAAAAACAAACTTCCCACGGGCGAACCGTTTTCGCCACGCACGTCGCGCGCACTGCGTTCCCCTTCGTTCGATCGTCCGACCGCGAGAGTGACGGGAAACGGTGAGATCGTCTCGCGCACGTGACAAACGAACGATGAACGTCGCTGGAAAGTTCTCCGCGGTATTTCACAAGTGTCTCTCGTGCGAACTCGCCGGATAATCGTGCTCGGAGAGTTCTCCTCGAGTTCGTGCGCCAGCAGAGCAACAGAGGGAGGAGTCTAATTGAAGGAGCTCGCGATCTCGCGAAGCGGATCGGCGGGAAAGCGCGGCAAGCCGAAAGGGACGAGCGAGGGGTGCGGACGGATCGGCAGGGAATCCGGCCTCCACGGTCCCGCGCTTTTGCCCTCGGATATTCGAAACGCGCCGGTGTCCGGGTGATCCAGTGACGGTGTCGCGGTGTCCGCTCAATTTTCGTTCGGATCGATTTCACAGTGTTCGCGGCCATTGGCGAGCGAACGTGATTGCAGCAGCAGCAGCAGCAGCAGCGGCGGCGGCCCTCCGCGCTCGCCGCGTCGTCGTTGCTTGGACCAATTCCAGACAAACCGAAAATCTGTGGTGACCCAACGTGATCGAAGATCTCCGCAGTGGGGCTCGTTTTTTTATTCGACTCGATAGGCCGGGCTGGGGTCGACGAACGAGCACGGCCGCGACTCGCCGATTAATCGCGCTTATTTCGGCTGGTCCCTTCCTCTGCTCCCTACGCCGGTGTTGCTCGCCAGCGAGGACTCCCGGAGAGAGTGTCCCGCGTCGGCCGGACTGTTTTCGACGTTCGGAACTCGAGATGGCTCGCGGAAATCGATCCCGGCAACACTTAACCACTCCATTACGGCTGGAGCGTCGTCGCTCTCTTCCTTAACCATCCTCCGGCTAATCGAGAGAGTTCGGCAGGATCCAGCGGTGCAAGTTTGCCGGCTTCGCCTGTTCGATCGGCGACGTGAAGCTCGGAAGTCCGGTGTATCGTAGCAGCGTGGATTTCGGAAGACTCCGGCGGAGATCCCATCGATTCCGCTGGTCGATCGAACGAGAGGACGGGGCGAGCCTAAAACGCGAGCTGGCCGTGTGAACGGGAATTCCGCGGCAGCTCGGGACCGTTTATTCCGACCGGCATAGGAGATCGGTTCGGAGGCCACCGTGAAACGACGCGGCGTAACGATATCATCCTGGCCAAAGGGACCGGGGGTTATTTTCTGAACGAGACGGTGACCGTTGGTGCGGTAAATTCTGCGGCCTCGGTGGACATACCATGGTCACCGGTGATTGCGGGTATCATGTTCGTCGTTGCAGGTTATTGGCTGCAGCGGCGCGCGGTTAGATCGAAAGTGCGGCAGGTTTTCTAGCGGTCCGGGGGCTACTACGCGTGTCCGACGCTTTAATAACGGGCGTAGAGTGGATGAAAGGCAGGCGGAAAAAAAGAAACGAGGGTGAAGCGTGCGCGCGGGGATCGTGGTACGCGGTGGTCGATGCGGTGCCGCGGCAGCTTTAATTAGTGTTTAACCGGAGAAGAAAAACACGAGTGATATTTGTTCGGCGAGACAGAGGACGGTGATCGGTTCACGGCGCGCCGGTACGAGCTCGGCAGCGCGTGCACGCGTCGAGCGTCCAGGTAGACGCAGTTCCCGACGTCCGACGACGTCTCTGGAGAAATCGAGGGGGCTCGGATGGCGCGGGAGAAATGCGAAACTCGTGCAGCTTCGCGATGATCGTCGACGCTGCGGAATGCCCAGCGAGCGAGCCTGAAGCGCGAGAGAGCGGGAACAACTTCGGCTCCGCGCGGAGATGACTCAACGCTATCCGATCTTTAGGCTAGCAACCCAGCCGAGAGCTCCGACTCGATAGGACGGAACCATTACCGTAGCTCGCTTTCGGTTCGCCTCGAAGTGCCGGCTTTCGTGATCAAACTAACGAGGAATAACGAGAGAACATGTGGAGTGTACTGTTGTTATTCGTTGGACTAACGAAGGCTGTTTCCTACGTCGCCGGGATTACTACCACCGTCGACGAAAAATCAGGTGAGTCTCCTCCCTGTTCCGCATTTTCACAGCCGTCCGCTTTTTTCTCGTTCTCCGTAATGGACGCGCGAAACCCATCGACCTCGGTGATCCTTTTTTACCGGAAACGGGAAACGTAATTCCTGGCCGAATGGTCTTCGTCTCGGAAATTCCGGAAAACTGAAACCCGAGGGAAACGCGCGTTCGCGCACGCTGGAGCCGCGGAGGACCCACTATTTTCGCTGCTATTTTCCTCGTTTTATTTGCCACGTTGTTCGGTATCTAGGACGGAGGTTCGCCCCGGGCGACCGGCGCAGTTTTTCGCGGAGCGTACGCAATAAATCGACGAATCGGAATCGGAACCGCGTGAAAAAACACGTCGCCGAGGAACCGCCGGGTTCCGCGATGGGAACGGGCCCCGCTAGGAAACCGATTTTCATCCAACCCCGCTCACACGGTGTCTGACTGTCGACTTGGACCGCGGGAAGAAGGGGCGACATGTATTCCCGCGGCGTTATATAATGTACCGAATACATGCGCTCGCGCGGCCTGTACTCCCAAGACGGTTCGTACACATCTCAGCGGCGTTGAGTGCAGCTAGACGTAATCAAATTTGACGGATGCGTAGGATTTGAATTTTCCAGCGCCTCGGTTAGACATTGATTTCATCGCGGGACGCGTCGCTCGCGCCGCGGCGAAACCGCCGACGCGTCCCGAGGCGTTGCAGCGTCTCCGGCGGAAATCTGCCACCGGTGTTCTCGTTATCGGCCGATCGAAAGGCTCGAGGCGGCCGAACTTGATCGGCCGTAATCAAATCGGCTGACCTTTCACCCGCAACTCGCGTATTGTCTTCGACGCCCGAGTTCCCCGGCTCGCGACCGGTTCGCTGAAAGGCGCCAGGAATTCGATTAAACTCTATTCCGTGTCCCGGAGACGTTCGCTCCATTGGTCGAGGCGATCGCTCAATTTTGGGTCCAGGCGTCTCCGGGAAGTACGTTCAATAGATCTCCCCGATGGATTCCCTGATCGTCGATAGCAGCGCGACGCGCTGGAAATTCGACGGGGGGAGTCGCGCTCAGCGAAAGAATATAGAGCGACAAGATGGCGCGAGCAGCAGTCGGCTGCGCTATGACGGTCTATTCTCCTTCGAGGCGGCCAGGTCCGTTTACAGAGGTGTGCCGAGGTGCTGTACGATCTCGTCGGCGCTAGAGCATCGTCGTTGCTCGCGGAACATCGCGTACGCTTCCGGGAGCTCGCCGAAGCTCTTCCCACTCGGTGTTGCTCTCGCGAACGGAATACTTATGCCAGCTCTACCGACGCTGTTCGAGGTTGTTCGACGCGCGTCGCACTCCCACAGAGCTGAGCCGCGCGAGGGTGCATCGGATCGCATCGGATCGTACCGCACCGCGGCGCAACGACGCACCGTACCGACGGATCCAGCTCGTTATTAATTATTGATACCGCGGCAATAACTCGACGCGGTAATAATGGTCGAAAATATGATCGGGTGGAGGATATACGTGGCGACGGGTCGCGCGCACCGTTCCTCGCGCGCGATGCACGGTAAATATATTCCTGTAACGCAACAATTATCGACAGCATCGTTTATTATTGCGCGTTCGTCGGGCGCCGTTCTCGCTCGGATAAATACCGATGCGAGAAGTATCATCGATAAAGTTATCCGCGGGAATAATGAAGTCCTTTCATTAGCGGACCGGCTCGCTTCCCATTTCCCGACGTAGGCCTGCATACGCTGTCAGAGATACGCTGTTTACCGGAGTGAAAATTAATCGCGTTACCGCAAATTAGAGTGAGCCGCCGCGAGTTTCGTGGCTCCCGCCGTTTTCGGCGGTTCCGAGCCATTGTTTGCCGGCCTCTACTTTCGATCCCCGACGCTTGACCAGAGGCGGCTCCCTGCTCCCGCTGCCTCGCCGTCGCTTCGCCGCGCCGAAGGAAACTCGAACGGGCGCGCGGTCGTGTTTTTCCTTTTGTCCCGGGAGCTCGTTGACTCCGGCGAAACGAAGGCCCGTAGAAATTGTCGCGCATAAAAGCACGTAGACGGCCGCGGGAACCCGGGGATTCGGGCACGTCGGCGTCGACGTGCGTACCCGGGGAAACTCGGGGCAACTCGGGGCAACCGTGAAGAGGACTGTAGCAGCGTATCGAGAGCTCGTCGACTTTTCTTTCCCCGGGAAGGTTTAACGAACCGATCCGCCGCAGTTTCCTTTCTCTTCACGGACTTGTTCGTTTCGCTCTCCGGTTTTTTCGCCGTTTCCTCTTTTTCTCGCGCACTCCCATTCGCCGGCGCAACCTGTTTTCTAGCGCCGACTTCTTCCCCGTTATTCCATTTCTTAATTTAGCCGAGCTACTCGCGGCTCGTCGGACGTCGCTTTTTTCCTTTTCTCGTTCGCTCCGCTCCTCGTCGCGAGCTTCGCGATTTCCCTCGCGTCGATGCAACCACCCCTTCCCTCTCCCTGGATCGTTCCGCGTCGATAAACTCGACGGCGGCCGACGACGCTCCGCGATCCGTAGCTCGCGGCGCTGATACGTTTCGCGGCTCGTGTAATTTCCATTTCGAGTTTCCACGGAACAGTCGCGCGCGGCGGTCAGCGCGACAAGCGCGACGGAAAGGAAAAAAAAATAGCGAACGCGCAAAAGTCTCTGTCGCTGCCCCTTTCATCGTGCACCTTTTTTCC